ATTCCACAAGTAAAACAGTAAAACAGTTCTTCATCCACTTCTTATATATTCAATACTAAATTAACACAGAAAGATTGGAGATCCCAAAGGGCACACCGGATTTTTTTCTTAGGCTTTCTGTGGTCTTGGTACCATGTTTTCATTGAGGAGGAGCAAAAGACATAGGTGCAATAGTGCAAAATAAAAGTGTTTTAAATTTCTCAATGAAAACCAACAAATGTTATTTTAGGTTTAGGTGTTGATGAAGTAACTGTTAAATAGATTGCTCATTGGCATATAGTTCAAATGTACCATTGAATTCTTAGGCCTAGTAAGCAGACATGCTTGTGTGAATTACACAGTTCAACAAAATTCAACAGAATTCAACAAAGCTAGGACTTAGTACAAGCTCATAAAAAAGGATAAAATCTCCAGTACTAGTACTAGTTATTGTACAGGAACTGTATTGTGAACTGGTTTTTAGCTTTCCTTATCTCTTTTTGAAAAGTTTCCATTAACAATTCTTTTGAGAAAATAATATAACTCATGCTACAAATGAAAAGGCAAGATACATAAGCAAAAGATGCCTGGAATCCCAGTTTTCACACACAGCTTTTTACAAAGATGAAACAACACCAGATACACCCATTTAACTCAGAATCTGAACTATTGGATGCCTCCAATCCTCATTTTCATTTTTATTCCAATAATCAACTAACAATTTAAAGAAAATATCCGATATGCAGTTCATTCTTTAGGCTAGTATACCACAATATTATAAGCCAACATTTTTCCTTTTCTCTTTACTTAAAAGTAATAATATTCTACTCTTGACCAAAAAAACACCAGATTATGCTTCCCATTAGGGTCATTTATGTGAGTCATTAACTCTGAATAAGGGGAAAAAATAAGGCAACACAGTCCTAGCAACAGTTAAAAATTGCATAATGCTTTTTGCCAGCTGAATGCCCTTTAAAAAGTCCTATTTGAACGTTTTCTAATTCAGTTTTATAAATGGGAATAAATAAGTAAATATATAAATAAATTATTTTCCAAAGGTCATGCAGAAAGAAAAAATGGATTGGCCTATGGTTTAAACACCAGATTAGATCCTAAAACATGGTGGCTCTGCCACGAAGTCTCTTGTGCAACCTTGCACCACACACTTAATATCATTTTATTTTCTGTGGATAGGATTGAAAAAACTAATACCAGCATGTATGATCTGGGAGGAACTGCAACCACATGACAGAGAAGCAGAAGTGCCAAGTAAAAAATTCATGCTTTTAACTCACACCGATTTATTTTACAGACAAGACTTCCTCCTTGGATAAGCATGTAGTTTAAAACATAGGATTCCTCTGGAAACACTAGCACAGTAAGAGAGAAGCCTATTAAATAAAACAAGCAACAGTTTCTGAAAGAGAAAATCATACAGCTTTGCACTTTCCCATACAGTTTTCTTACATTCTCACAGTCATTAAAATGTATAAAAATGACTATTTCCAAAACAGCATTACCATGAATTATCACCACCCATGTTGCCTAGCAACTCGAGTAATTTTTGAATTGTGAGCTATATAAACCAGTATCTGGAGTTTGTGCAAATGGATGTTCATTTGGGGGTTTAAAACACATTCATCTTGGAAATCAGAGGCAGATAATGCAGCACTAATGTAAAACTGAAATTCTCTTAAAAACATAAAATGGCACTAACAATTACTGTAGCTCAGCAAAACCCTTCTGTAGCAGATCTAAACCCTATCATACTTGGTCAGGGCAGCAGTTTACTCCCTTGCTCTTCCTTGGGCTTGCAAGTGCCCCTTTCCAATTTTTATGAAGATATTTGACATTACCATGGAGAAAATGATTCTTGCCCAGTCTTCTGAAGGATTTTTTTCATAACTCAAGAGCAAAAGAAACTGGTGACATAAAATGGCAATGTATTTAATCCAAATTAAAAATTCTATTTTTATATAACATGCTGAGCTGGAAGAACTCACTGGTTCATACCATGACAGAATTATATGCTTACTAAGGTTCAAAATAGGACTGGACATAATAGTGGCAAAGAGATCATCCACTGAGATATTAGAAAGAGATTATAAGTACGTATATGGAACATAAAAACTCCCAGAAATCATGGCCTGGTCCTTGCTCCTTAGCTGCAAGTATTTGCCCACTATAGAGATTCTTGCCCATTCTTCAGACCCATGTGGAATTTAACTTGGACACAGGACAAGACCCCAAACCATATTGTTTGATGTCTGAGAATTTCTGTATTACTTTCTTACAACTTCAGTAGACAAGTTCCTGCTAAAGCTAGTGTCAACCTGTGTTACTATTTCCAAAAATTGAATGGGAGTGGGGGAGCGGGGTTCCCAAGGGAGAAAGATTCCAATTTAATGACTTCCAAGGTAACAATACAAGAAAAACAATAAAAGGAAAGCAACATGCTGAACAACAGCATGTGTTTTTCATAGATACTGCAGGCAGAGAGGCAAATTCATCCCTGGCACAAACACACAGATCACTGAAGGCAGTATAGCAGTAGCATCTGCTTATACCAGCTATGAATCTGAACAAGCTTTTCCCTACAACTACTACCTGCAGAGATAAAGCTGGATACAGCACTGAAGGCAGTTTAAGAACCTGCAGCCTCTTAGAGATTAGAGAACCAAATTTCTGCAGTAAGAGAAAAATCTATGAATTGTGAGTTTCCGGGCTCTCAGGAAGCAATGCAATACCTACTGACAGGCTGCCACAAAACACTTAATGGCTGTTAATTAGCTCAGATAAAGAAAAGATGCTCCATTTTGTCTGCTGGTCTATGGAAATTTGCTGAGACCACACACATTGTGCAGAGCTATCACATAAAACACTTCCATTGTTTTAATTTGGTCCCACTAAAAAAAGGCAGTGAACAAAAATTTTATTTTATCCTCAACCATGAAAGTGAACACCCCTAGAGAAAGGCAAATTATCTCAGCTAGATAGGCTAGTCATTGCTCTAAACAAGAGGTGCCACTGAACACATATCACATCTATCTATGGGATACTCAGACTCTTCTACAATGCAGCACACACATCCCCACATCTCCCTTCCTCTCATCACCACCAAGGAGCAGCACACACCTGTTCTGCCAGATTACTGAGCAAAAAGTGTTTATGTTCACTCAGCCACCAAAACTCCTATTTCCATTGCTCATGAACAGATCACATACAGGGAAAAATGTTTTCTGGATTCTACTCAACGAGAAGAAGACAAAATTTGATCCAAAATAGGCCAGTGTTTTTTTTCAGATTACATTTTAAAAGTCCTTCTTAGAAACAAGGTGCTGCCTCTGATTTACAGATGACCAACCACTTCTCTATAGTCTATAACACCTGTTCTGAAAGGAGTGAATTCAAGAGGAGATTGTGGTCTGAAGAGAGCTTCAGTAGTATAGACATTGATGGGAAACTATGCTGGCACCTCTGGCTGTGTGAGAGATTGGACATGCAGTAAGTAGAAGAAATGTTTGGTAATGCTTTCTCCTGGTCAGTCATTGCCAGGAAAGACAGTTGCATTTGGTAACTACTCCTTGTATGTTTAGCTCAAGCCTAGAGAGCATCATTAACATCTTTTTTTCTATTCTATATATACAGTTGACCTTCCCTTCAGTCCATGAAGTTCAACAGGAAGGAAAACAGATTTTTGATAAGTATAGTTTGAGTTACACTTTGTGAAGTTCAAAATTCAAGCTATTTTCACACTATGACTAGGTGCATGATTCACAAACAGTTTAATGAATGTTTATACAAAGAAATTTTGTTGGCCCTTAACTGAATTTCAGTCTTACTGAGCTCTAGGAATGGGAATATTTCCAGAAAGCACATTTTAAGTACAGACTTCTAAATAATTTTTGAAAATAAATGTTAGAAGATAAATAAAATTATAACCAACCTCAATTCATTTTTATTTTCCAAAATGAAGGCAAAACCAAAGAAGCAATCTTGAATGAACATGAGAAAATAATCATGTTTGCAACGTTTTAAATTATAAAAAGGGTAAAATCTACAGACTGAAATATTGCTCTGTGAATGACTTGTTTTGTTTTCCATGTCATCCTATTGTTCCTAACTCCCGATGTCATACACGTCCTTCATGAATGGTGGCACTCATTGGCAGTTTGATTACAGGTTGCTACTGTAAGCCATTCCCACGATGCTAGTTGCTATTCCTTAGGCTCTAGGCCAGAGAAAAGCAATACCATCCACAAAATCAGAAATTCTCAATAGGAAAGCAGTGTGAGTGTCTGGCTTGGGTAATGAATCCAAGCTTCCTCTCAGACCTGCACACATGACAAATGGGGTGAGGCAACGATGAAGAGAAATGAGTACAAAGAGTACCTACGAGGTGAGCAATTCCTCTCATTCCCCAGAAGCCGCCTGCAGTAGCAAAGGCCACTTGTCTAGTGTGACAAATAGGGCTACTTCTTTTTTGCAAGCTAAAGGCTGACACTGAGATTCAAACTATATTAAAAAAAATGCAAAGTAACCTTGGGTCACAGAAGGAATCTGATGACAAACATGCATACTCATTGTGACATATATTTTCAAGAATGTAAATTCCACACAACGGACAGGAAAATAATTTTCTCTATAGTGCTGCATTATGGCAGCAATGTTTCTCTCCTTGGAACAAACATGAAATGCTTTGGAACACAGAAAAATCTTTGAACAGTCCCAGAAAACAAAACCCTAATGTGCTGAACTTCAAGCCTTAGGATCTGTCAGGCACCTGGGTCCTATTTCAGCAGGCTTCTTCCTATGAAACCTGTTTGTCAAATACAGTGCAGCTACCAGATGTAAGGTTAGGTCAGGTGTCACTGAACCTTGGGAAGGTTTTGCTGTAGCTCAAGAGGGCTGCATTGACCCCAGCAGACTGTTTTCCTCCTTACCCAAATCTGCCTCAGGCCCAGACAGACAAATTGCTTTCAAGCATCCTCCCATTAGGTGCAACCCAGAATACCACTTACTTGTACGGGATGTGTTTGCTTCCATTGACAAGGGCAAGGATGACATTGCCCAGTGCTGGCAACGAGAGGCAGAGGCCAGAGCTTCCCTCACGGTTTTTGCCGAGTACTTTCACACAGCTGCCCAGGTCAATAAGGTGCAAGCGGCTGCGACCTCCAGACACTGCCATAAACAAAGAAAGCAAACAGTTAGTGCATGTCTCCAAGAGCAGCTTCCCATGAAAGCAGAGCACTCATCAAGACTTGTGAAGAGGAAACAGCACAGAAACTTTCCCTAATTCATGTTAGCAGACACAAACTGTAGGAGTCCTGTTAACTCATTGTCAGTCTTTATTGCTGTACACTGCTGTCTACTCCAGCCTTGTTTAAAAGTTGCCAAGGCTTTCAGTACTCACCCTCTCCTGCAGTTTTAACTCTGTGAGAGCCACCAACATGATTCTATATTTTAAATATAGCTTTATTAGCCTTTACCTGGGTTGGCTCTGTTCTGTCACTGTCACTACTCTTCCTCTGTCTGGAATACTACAAGGCTGGGAACTGCTGCTTAGTGAGCAAGGATCCTTCTCTTTTTCTTCCCATCCTGAATACTGAATCTTAAGAAGAACCTGTGGTGTTTGTGGGATGTTCAACTTTGCTTTAAGTCTACATACTCTTACATTATCACTTCAGCTAATAAAAGGTTTGCCGTGCTACGCACCATCTCAAGTTATACATTTGCTAAAAAGAAGTATTAGCACTGAGCAGGGACATTTCACAAGCAAGTATGGCAATGGGAGCAACTACATGATAGGAACCTTAGAAAAGAATTTTACAGATGTATTTAATTGCTTTGTAAATGTCTTATCAATCACAGACGTCCTTTCTCAAGGGCCCTGCATTCAGCAGCTGAGGTACCGTGCCATGGCAGACACATTGGTACTGTAAGAGGTAGAAGGATTACATAGAAAAGTGAAGAACACACTTGTAAAACTTCTACGTATTGACAAAAATGTGATTCACAATCATATAATTTTTCAGATTCAGAAAGTGTACTATGAAAATGTATATAAATATAGAAAACATGCAGCTACTAATGCTATATATAACTATTAACTATAACATAAAATGTATTAACTTACGCTGAAAAAATAAGGAAAGATTTCATTTTACTAGCACTGCAAGACACAGGGCTCACTACTTAGTCCTATTTACCTGGTGTCTTGCATGACACAAAAATTTCTATTAAAATAAAGAATGGGTTTCTCTAAAATGTGTTATATATAATTCTGTAATTCTGTTTCAATTATAGTTGATGGTTAGTTGAAAATTAATAACAATAAAACAAGTAGATTTTTATTATAAAAGAAAAAAATTAATTAAGAGAAAAAGAGAAGATATGAAAATAAAGCAAGCAGAGGGAAAAAAAGAAGTAAGAAAGAAGAGAGAAGATGAAAGAAGACAGAACACTCTTCCTGTGAAAGTGATTTATGCTATGGTATTTGAGAATAACATTCCAAAAGTGTATCCAGTGTCTTTGTCAGAAATTTTGTTTTTAAGGCCTGTTAGTTGTTCAGCTACATCAGGTGTTTGGCAACACTGGACTTCTATGTATTCCTCTCACAAGGAAGTAGAATCCACACACACTGCAGGCTCCTGCATTTGCCCCAGAAAGTTAGGCTTCCTTGGGGAACCGGTCAGGCATCTGCACCTCTGAATTGCTCATGGAGGACTTTTGTCTCCCCTCTAAGAGTCCTTAAAAATCTTAAACTTCAGAGTCTCTGAGTCTTCTAAGATTGCTACTCTCAGAAAGCTGAAATTATCTTTTTTGAGTATCTCCCAATCATTTCACTGGAAAAACAAAGAAATGCATTTTGTTGCCTACTGAAAATGATTGCAGGTGACATTATTGAATCATATGTAATGAGTATTTCTGTTGCTAAGATTACCAGATGTCAGGGAAACAAAAGAAAATGAAAGAAATCACTAACTTTCGAAAGCTCAGTCATATTGTTTCCACATATATTCCCATTACAGAGATTGAGGAAATGCAGAATAAAATAAATTGCTAGATCTTTCCTTTTAATTTCATTTACATGCTGAAGTAACATTTTCAAGATTGTAGATCCTTTCGCTTGAAAATGAAGTTATTTGTTAGGCAAGTTCTCCACTAATGTACCTGGCAACTACAGAGAAAAGAAGTGAAACATTGTAACACTTGTTTTTGTCTATGGCCAGAGAGACTGCAGAGCTGACAGCTGAAAAATGACTGTGCCAGTCCTGCCACAATGTCATTTATTTCAATGGTGCTAGGCCTGCTTCATGACATTCTTGGTAATGAATCTAACAAGGAGGTAAGTACAGTACCAATGCCTTATTCTAACAGTAATTTTTTATCAAAATCACACGTTAGTCAGCCCTTTAATCTCTTATCCTTCAGAAGCTGAGGTTTTTGAGGTTTATTTTGTGTTTTTTTTTCTTTTCCTTCTTCCTATCATTTTTTAATCCTGTTACTGGAATCTATATATCTCTCCTATCTTCATGGTTTTTTTCTGAGAAGTCCTTCATTACAGCAGGAGACAGTGATAATCACTAGGCGCCCTTTCTGAGCAACTGGAATTCCCTCCTCATTCAATTATCAGCAAGATCTGACCCTGCCTAGCTTGTAAGGCCACTCAGATATGGGAACTTGAAGACAGGAGGTGGTATGACCACTAGACAAAGATATAACTAGAGACAGTGGGCAAAGCATGCAATATTCTAATCCAATAGGATCATGTCTTCTTTTTTTGAAATTATAGCCACAGGAAAATAATATTTTCCCTTTTACTAATGGCATTTGAAAACAGTAGTAAAGGACTGTGTGTACATGTGCTTGCATGCAGTAAAAAGCATTAAATATTAAATAATTGCAATAATTATTCCCTCAAAATCAGCCATTTTATTTCTATAAACCAATCTGTTTGAGTATTCATAGTCTTCCTTTCCACTGCAGGGTAGTTAATTAATAAACCTTTAGTTAACTGAGATTTCTGCCTGCCAATTCCACAGGGGTTATTACTTAAACACATGCAAGCTGCATTTCCACTTAGAGCAACTTTCTGGTTTTCTCTCTTAAAAGTACAGTCAATGTAAATTTTCTTCATTCAAACATTAGACATTAACACTGCAGTGGTGAGCACCCACTACACATCATAGCTTGCAATCTATTCCTTATTGCAGATAACCTATGCAGAGCCAGAAGCTGAAACACATGCTGATTCTGCAGAATTGCTTAAGCCCACAAATTTAAAGAAGCAGATGTCTCCAGTGTCTTTTGAACAAACTTTTTTCCCTGTAAAAAACTATTATTTGAAAAACGAGTTTTAATGTGAGAGTTTCCTTTTACAGGAGGGGTGCCTCATATTATACAAATCTTTCATCATTGGAACTTACTGAAAAAAAAAACCTCTCAGTATATCTGTAGTCATAAACAATTTGGGAGTCTTGAAACAGAAGACAAATATAATAAAAAATATAAATGGTGTGAGCCAAATGAAAGCTTTGAAAATTATAGCAATATAAAAGTAGACACAGAAGCATCTCATGGACAAGTGGGAGATAGAAGTAAAGACACAAGCCAGTAAAACCATCTCTAACAAAGAGAGGGAGCAAGTCTATCTGAAAACTCCAGAGCCTTTACAAAGGACTACAAGAGTCCTCTGCACTACACATAGTTTGGCCAGCAACTAAAATAACATGTATCTCCAAGACAAGGTACAGTTTATGGATTGCTAACATCAGCTTCCCAGTTCCTGGATTGCCAGCATGAGCTTCGCCACACAATGCCCTATTCAGGTATTGAAGAGGAACAGTTAACAGAAGGGTGAGGAGTAATTCCCATCACCACAATATTTTAATCCATTACCTCAACACTATCTGTAGAGATAATAATAAAAGACAATTTGAGAAGCACTTTTTTTTTTTTTCAGATGGAAAGGCACACACAATGCTAAGAACTGTCAGTATGTCCACAATAGCAATTAAATGGACAAGTGACGGTAATAATTCCCAGTGGCCTTCAGTGGTCTTTGGTGTGTCTTCACCTGGTACGCGGATGGTCTGCTGGTATGAATGGCCCCATCCAATGCTAAATGAAAAACTCTGCTAATTTTTACCACTAAAGAATATTGTTTAAAGGCCCATATAAAGCCAGTTTCCAGAGAGGCCTGGAGGAGAGAGAAAGCAGCAAGAGGACAACTTACTTCCGCCTTTGCCGCTCTTCTCCATGCGGTACTGGTAGATGTGCAGAGTGAAGAGCATGTGGGAGTTGCGATGATCCTCCTCATCACAGTCCCGCTGGCTGCTGCGGCGTGAGGCGATGGCAGCATCCAGGAAGAAGGCAGCCTTCTCTGCTGTAGGGGCACGAAGCTCACTCTGATTCTGAAGCTGCAGTCGACACAAAGGAGAAATGATTTAGAAACTCCCACACAAGTCAACACCATCAGACAACTTACACCAGTCAACATATACTGTGGATTTGCTGCCTTCTGCTGGGACCAAATAGGAGGAGCTGCCAAAGGAATGAGACTCTCCTAACACTGGCAGTGGCAATAACATGCCCTCCAGGAGCCCTGATGGCTAATATTAGGAAAAAAAAATTGTGAACGACACGTCAATCCAAAACTCAGTAGGTGGTGGAGAGTGGCAGTGGCAGGGCTATGTGTTACCCTTCAGAATGTGTTAGAAGGGAGTAGACCACAGATAAATGGTCCCAAATAAATCAGGGAAATAACAGGACTGAAAATTGTGCCCAGTCCCATGGCATACGGGGAGCAGCACAGAAGAGAAGCCCTTTCCTTACCCCTTCTTACCAAAAGCTTATGCACCTGCTAATAAGCCAGGGCAATCCATTAAATGGAACAAGGCAGGTAATGTACATACATTCACATTTGCGGGACTTCAGTCCCAGTCACCAGCCTGCTCTTAACTCCCCAAAGTGACAGACAGCTTAGGAGGGCAGATATTATTAACCCTCCCATAACATTAGGAATGCATGCATGTTTCATGTCATCTAAGATTAGGTTGTCTGTGAAGGGACACGTGACTGCGCAATCTGATAGCATCAGTTTCGGCAGTACGCAGAGCTGGCCCACAGCCCATAGGATAAACTTGTTTTGTCTGGTGTAAAAACAGCAAGGAACTCCCCTTCTTGGGGTTTGTTCCCCTACTATATAATATAGTAAAGTTCTCTTAAAGACAGTTAATCAGCCTGAGGAGGGATAAAGCTGAGGCTGTGTGTGGGATGGGGCGACGCAGCTGAAGGCTAAGCGCTCTCAAGAAAGAGAGAGGCGGGCAGGAAAGAGTTAACAAGGCAAGCAGAAAGCAGGCCAGTCTGTGGGCTGATCTCACTAATGTAAGCAACAATGTGCACACTTGGAAAGGTCCAGTGACAGACAGTATGACATATGGTCATCATTCATCTGCTATACACACTGCTGATTCTGCATATTTGTATGGCTATAATATAATAACCTGCTCTCATTTGAGGATTTTGAGAATTCAGGTGTAGGACCTCCAGAGTCGCTATGTCTTTTAAGTACACATAAAAAGGGTTTTTCCCCTTGCAATTTAATTCAGTATTTTACACTGCAGAGATACGTAGATGTCTCATGGAGATACTTCTTGTTCACTGATCTAAAATAATTCATTTTGTATATAGCTGTTCTGCATCTATATAAAAATAAGCCACTATAATGGGATATTTATTATTATTGCTATTGTGCTTAAATACCTTAGTAAAGGATTAAGCTCTAAGGAGATGGTAGATGTCACACAGTTATGTAACACAAGTAATGTACATATGCTAATTCAGATCTTAACTGACCCATCTACCACCACAATGGGAACTGTGAAGACCCAAGTCTCTCGTCTCACATTCACTAGACTGCACCCATTAGTGGATACCAGAGGGTGAGATCTCTTGAAATAGTGTAAGTATTTCATAAAACACTAAAGTCAGGAGTTAAGAGAGAAAGAGAACCCTAACTGTTATTTAAAACCAACAAGCAACTTTGTAGTCCTTAGGTAGAAAAGAAAACAATGAAAAAAATATGACCTAAGTGTGCCTAAAAAGCTTAAACCACAGAGAGATAAGACACAAAATTTATTACTTGTTGTTTAAAATCTCACAGTTCATGACTTTTGTAGATATGAATAATGATCTCTAGATGCTTGGAGCTGGATATAGTGTAGATGACCCTGTGGGTCTGTTCCCTCCTCCCTCCCTTCCCCATCCTTGGATAGGCAGAGCTCTGCAGGTTCTCAATGGAATCAGCCTTTGCCTTTCAGGTTGAAAGGACATATTCAAGCTCTATCATGCTGGTTTGCTCCCTCTTCATCTACTCATATAAAAAGCGTATTTAGGCCCTCACAGACAGCAAAATGAAAGAATAGACTTTTTTTTTCCCTCAAAGCAACAGTGGGGAAAAGATAGGGCTGCTGAGCATTTCTCAGGGTTATCCAGAAAATACATGAGCCAGTAACTCATTTCTGCTAAACCTCTGAACCTGAGAAGAGTTTAAGTTATTTTTTACTTGCCCAGCTCAGGAATTTACTTCTTGGCAGCAATTAATAAGTAGTGATTAATGCTTCCTGCAACATTGCTAATGCAAATGCTATAAATAATGTAGTTTATAAAGAAATAAACAGCCATATTAATGGCCTACAGCTATTTGTGCAGTACTGTAAATATTTTAGCTTGTTGTTTTACAAAAGAGAGATCACACTTTTTTTTTTTTTTTTAAATGAGGTGAATTTTTGTTTGCACTGAATGTTTTCAAATTTTATTGCAAACACAAGCCCCTGCTCAATATCAGTTATACCAGAGGTACAAATATTTAGGCCAGGAGAGCAGATGGTCCTGCAGCTGCAGGTCATAAAGTTCTTGCATGTTTTAAAGTAAACACTTTCAAGTCTATAAACTTAATGCTCTGGGTAGTTCTTGAATTTGAACCATCTCAATAATTAAAGAAAAAAAAAAAAAGTCATGTTCCTTGTTTCAATGTAAAATGAACTTTGGATTCACCTGCATGCCACAAATGGGATCTTCACAAAGGTAGACACCTGGGGACTGGCCATCTTGCAGGCTGCCTGTAGCCACTTCTGACAACAGGTCTCTCAGATTTTCTTCTTTCCCCCACACTTCCACTGCAGAAATTCGGACTGAGAAGCGGGCTCCTGTCTTCTCTTTCCGCTCGTTAATCAACTTGAAGAGCCATGAGATGGCACAAGGAATTATGCCAAGGTTTTGCATGGAATCATCCTTCCCAATCATGGTGTATGACTTCCCTGTCAGGAACAGGGGGATGAAGAAAATAAAACATTATTCCCAGGACCTTCATAGCCTTCTGCCAAGAGAGATTTTCCTGCACAAACTCCTGGAAACAACTTCACTACAACAAGCACAGTCAGCAAATGGAAAAGGTAGGCAGACAGACAAATCAGTACATGGAGAATGCAGATGAAATCTTGAGCTGCTTTCAAAAACCATTACCTCGTGCATTCCCCTGACATGTTCCATTCCCCAGGCAGGGTGCTGCAGGACCCTACCATGTAAAAGTGCAGACTCTGAAGGATGTGGGTGAATTGTGGAGAGAATTGAGTAGAGAAGTGTCACGGTCTCTAAAAATCCCTACTTTAGATACTGTAAGTGTAGTATTCTTTCAATACCATTTTACGTCAAAGCACTATATTATATTTCATATGTCTCCAGTTTTGTTGCCTATAATTTGGCATAATCGTGGCCTGACGCAGCATGATCTTCTTTACCACCTGAAAAACTAAATTATCCTTTCAAGTTACATGTATATGTCTGCGTTTCTTTGAGACAGTAAAGAATGGAGATCATTGCACACAGACAACAAAACCCTCTTCATTCAAGAGACAGTACTTTCAAAATACAACTAGATAAGCATGAGAAAAACATATTATTACTCTTGAAATCCAATTATTTCAAAAGAATGGTGTGTTAATCATGACAATTCTCCTTTTTTATTTTCCTTTATTCTTCTTTCTTTTCCTTCCATGAATACCTACTCTAAAATTCTATTAAAGTGTTTGCAAAGTGTTCGTTTTGATCCACTGGTGACGTTCAGTTAACCATTAAAGTAAGAATTGTTAGAGACACTGCAGGAACAGGTTAGTAATGAATGAACTGTTTAATTAATTAGGGAATAGAATATGAATCAAACTCTTTTGAGTGTCCAGTCACAACACTTGAACAGTGTCATCACAAACATCAAGTATTTAAGTGAATACTAACAGCCTTTACACAGTTTGATAAAAGTGGTATTTTGGCAAACCATCTCCAATACCAAGCACATTTGTAAAACTGTAAATCATTGTTGGATAATTCATTAACAACTGAAGACAATGCTAAAAATTGTTGTAGTAATCAGGAGATGGAATGAAGCAACAATTCAAAGATAACTTCTGTTTCAAAGACCATGTTGTTCAATATTTACACAGTATTCAAAGATGTGTAAGCAAGAGGTGAAGGTGTAGTACAAATCATGCACCGTGTACTACTTTCAAATACAATTAATATACTCAGACAAATGAAAGTTTCTTTTCCCTAATCTAATATACTAGCAATCTTGGGTTAAAATATTAATTTTGCTGCTTGAGTAGGGAAATTTAACAATACCAACCAAGCTTGGAATGACCAAAGCAGAACACGCAGCCGTCTGCCCCATTGACCACAGACTGGATCACCTCAGCCACAGTCCCAGCACATACTTCAGCCTGTCACAGGTATTTAAAAAAGAAAAAATAAAAATAGAATTAAAAAAAAAAAGAAAAAAAAAAAAGAAAAAAAGAAAAGCACTAATAATAACAAGGAAAATAACTATTTTCACTGGAAAATGGTAGTAATGTCATCCCTGCTCCAGTTAGCATGTTGAAGTATCAAAAAGTCTAATTCTGCTTGTCTCATTCATGTGACCTGTGCTGTCAATGGGAATGACATTACTTGTGTAAGCACATGAAGCAGGACTTTTGTTCAGTGTCAAGTAAGCTTCATTTGCTGAACCATCAACGTTCTTCGTGGGGTTAAAAAAACCTGCACGTATTGTAAGGAGATGTGGTTGGTCTGTTAGAACTGCCTATTTAGGGGATTTTAAAATACAGGATTTTAAAATTTTGATTAAAAATCAATCCAATACTGAGGAATTTTTACAGGCTCTATTATTTGCCCAATTATGGATTGAGTTCAATTACAGTAGCATGTTGGTAAAGAATATCAGGGGAACAAACAGCCTCTTTGGTACTAGCTAGGTGACTCTATATTACTATGAGTCTTCTCAGCATTTTGTAGCAGTAGGCTCTATTCTGAAGACTGTAGCAGTATTTTAAGAAGCATAACTAGGCATTCTTGGATTTAAGGTTCAAGAAGGCTGAATGGTTTACAGAGCTTCTGCAGTAACTGCCCATCAATAGTTCACGAAACTAAATCAGAATTCACAGTTTAGTCCTTGATGGGAAGTACTTTGCATTTGATAATAAATACATAAATTCACCTATTTCATGACTATTTCTAAACTATCTCTACCATATAACATAAAATGGGCCAAGTAAGGGACTGTTCACAGGTCGGCCCATTGAACTGCAGCCAGGCATTAATCTGGGAGGTGCTAGCTGCTGGGACCAGAACTAGGTGAGGGACTGGCCTAATGACACAATTATATGGCAGTACTTTAGCTGGTCCTGTGTCCTAGTTCTGTTTAGTTTATGAGTACAGAAACAGCCTTAGAGGATGGTTGTCTAATTATACTCTGCAATGCTACTGTACATTTCTGCTGTCCTCGTGACATATGGGTACCACAGTTCATCAATCCAAAGAAGTCTAATAAAAAGAAGAAATCTGCATATATACACATGAATAAAGATTTGTAGATTAAAATCCCCAGCTTCTTATTGCAAACTGTACAATAGAACACTGTAAAAATAACCCTTGACCCCTTAATGCATAGAGGACTGTATTAGAGAACTGCATTTCTGATCAGATCTCTGTATACATCAAATAATATTCTATAATATTCTTGTTGATATTTAGGATTTTCCTACTAGGCACCATTTAGCACATTTATTGCATGTATAATTTTAGGAGAAATTATTTAAAGTAAAGAATAAAGAAAACACACAATTATCAAGTTAAAATTTAATAAAGTGATTTCATTATTGATGATGATAGACCAAATTCAGCCCTGAAGGCACTACTGCTGCAGCAGAAATGAATTTGGCTCTGGTGCACACTACTATTTCGATAATTATTCTGATCATATATTGCCTACCTGTGAAGCATCTTGGGGGAAAACCGCATCAAAAGCAAACATCTTGGGTGGAACCTGATTTCCCCTTTTCTGGAAAGCATTCTGACCTCCGCAGGCCAGTGGGTCATAGAGTGTGATTTGCTTCTTACGAGGGTCAACTTTTAAGAAAGAGCTGGATTCAGAGGTGTCTCTGGCAAGCGTGGAAGAAATGCGCACCATAACTTTGACCTGTCAGCAAACACACAAATAGACGAGGACATTTCATTAGTCTGTTGCCTGGTCTAGACTGGTATGTTGAACAAATTTTCCAATTACACTCAACCAACTCATACTTGCTTATTGTAGCTAGTGTCTCAGTGGAAGTTAACGAACACACAGGAATTATTAGGCAGAATTTGTCCTAAAATACAGAGTAAATAAAGCCATAACTCACCTCCATCTACTTGCGTATTTAGAATGATGATGTACATCATGGTGTTTTAGTGTCAATGTTACTCAAGTACAATGATGAAGTATTACATCACCTTGTCTTACTCTCAATGTAAATTGAAAATTAACCATGCCCTAGTGACCCAATTAAGAAAGCTGAAAGGTAATCTAGACTGCTAAGCTATCAGAACTGCTGCAGTTTCTACAAAAAGTCTGATCAAAAAAAGCACATAAAAGATCTGTAATTTACACCTTTACAATTTTAATTCAAAAGCAAAGATGAAGTGCTCTGTTCTAAGTGTCATCATCAAAGAGTTGTGAAAAGAGTCCTGTTTTAATGGTCAGATTTTGAAATTATCGTCAAGAGTGGATGTAATAAGTTCTAAAAGATTTGTTAAAACATGTTAGTTCACAATTCATTAAATAGCTACATAATAAAATGTTATTCCTGAGACAAAAATAAATGTTCATAGATTTAATGAGGTTATGCTGCATCCTTAGCCCAGTTCGTAAGCAACTTAGCTGTGAGGAAAACTGAGGACAATCAGTCTGGCTTTGGCTCTCCCCATAAATTCACCACCTGCAGACACTTAAGCTTCCTGAACTTTACAGGGCAAACATCACCGCTCTCTCTCTGCCAGCTCTAGCCATACCCACACCCACTTTGTCCTAGAGCAGACTGACTTTCATACCAACTGGACTGAACTTTTTATCTTAATGCTCCTTAGTCGTACATCACTTGCATCAAACCCACCCACGTTTGGCATGTGAGTGACCACAAAGGTGCACAGGGTGACAGTTCATCTGCTGTTGGAATGGCAAATGCCTTCTGGGAAGAGGTTGTGTCCCTAGAAGTTAGGCTGCAGTTCCTGTTGGTCTCACTGAGAGTAGTGCTCTTTAATGCAGATCTCATTTCATGCTGGCGTAAGATCATCCTGCATTCAAATAAATCAACTGCTTTAAGAGGTAAAATCTGGACAAACTCATTTTTGACATCACTCCTTTTAAAACAACAGAAAGAAACAGGGATTAGTTGTAATTATTCAGTATTTCTGGTATATCTTCTCTATATGTCAGTGAGTCAAATCAGTAATTTGACATGTATTTTAACCCGGGAAAACAAGTTGTCATGAAATGGTGAAATGGTTGCAAATCTGCCCATGTGACTTCAGTTTTACACAATTAGCTGAGGGAAAAAGGAATATACTGCTTTGTGTGAATGGTGTGAATGTGTTCTCCTTTAACTGCTCAGCTGAGCTGCCTATGCAACCTAACCTCTAACCAAAAAAAGCCACTTCTAATGTCTTGCCAAAGGCATTCTTCTAAACCCAACCCTAAGTAGAGCTGATTTCTACTGAGGACAAAGGCAGCCAACACCCCTGGTCATTCCACATGAAATGGGCAAGGTCTGAATGTTTATTCCAGCCCTAGGTCTCCTGGAAGCTCAGAAGGGAGGCACTAGTCAAGTCAGCAGGAAAGAGAGGGAGTACAACTGTAAATCCTAGAGTATCAAGAAAACAAAGGACAGTACTAGTCTTGGGCTGTTTTCCTGTTTTCAACTTTGCGAGCCTTTGGCTTTTTTCTGCTGTGTCCCACATTTTTAAACAGATACCAATATCAAGAGCACTAGACTGATCTGCTGGAAAACAACATAAATGTTATACTTCAACTACTTTAAATCAAATACTTGCTCTGTTTTAGAAAACTTTTTCCCTTTAAGTTTATGTGTATTTTTAGCTGCTATGAATCCATGTACCTCTTAAACCTCGATCCCCCTGTGCAAAGGAGAGCTTACTGAATACCCTGGGTTAAGTTTTTTGGGAGTTTGGAGAATGGACAGTGTGTGAAATTTAGCAAGCCTTCGTATACAGGCAGTCTAAGTTCTTTCTGGCCTCAAACTATACAGGCATTCAGTTTTAACTTCAGCTACACACATTTTGTTATGGTATAATATGACTGACTTGGGTCCAGATTTAAACCTTTTTCACACAAAGTCAGCTTAATACCTACCACTTCTTACTGAAGTAATACTGCAAATCCCCCTAACTTTCAACAGCTTCCAACAGGTTTTTCTTTCCCTGGAATAAAACACCAATTTAACTTAAATCCTAAAAATTTACTAGCATCAGATAAACTGAATGAACCTCTATAAAAAAGGAGCTCAACTCTGAAGTCCCAGGAGCTGTCTAACAGCAAACGTTTTCTGACCATTTAGTTCCTCAACTCTGATGAATATAAATGTCTCTCAAGAAAAATACTGCTATTGTCATGAACCCTTGTATGTCCTGTGCGTTGGGGATTTTTGTTTTGAGACCTAATGGTTCACAGAGTCATAGAATCACATAGGTTGGAAAACACCCATAAGATCAAGTTCAACTGTTAACCAATGACTGACAAGTCCATCACAATACCATGTCCCTAAGGGCCACCTCTACATGGAATCCTAGAATAATTTAGATGGGAAATCACCATGTTCATGTGTGTTAGGGCAGAGGAATATGCTATTGATTACATCTGGGTATCCTTATATCTGGACTACTTCTTACTTATCATGAAGATGTCTGTGCACTGTGGCACACCATATTATGGCTAATTTGGTTCACCTCCATTTAGACCAACCTGCAGGAGCTGTACCCTTCTGAGTCAGTTGTTTGACCCCTTTGTAGGCAATAGAGAGAAACAGGTATTTCTAGCACTTAATTAGAACGTTCTGTTTTATAACAGGTAGGGAGAGTTGCACTCCACAAATGCTTCTTGATGTCTCTACAGCACCAGAAGTATCTTAAATATTTACCTGAGATGCAGGTCCCTACATCCTAGGCTGCCTAAAGTTATTGGTTTTGCTGTAAGCATAAAAAAAATTGCTCTTCTTGGCCCAAATTCAGCAGCATACACACAAACACAAATCTCTAGTGTGACAGTCTCTAGCAAAAAAAAATTAGGCAGATGAGTGTGATGGACACTGAACACAAGCAGTAACAATGGTAATTTGTAGACACTTAGGGTATTATTCCAGGCCAGTTTCACACCAGTGCAATTCTTTCAAATTGCTCCTGATTTACATTACATTAATTGAGAAGACAATTAGATCCCATCTGTGCAAAATGTATGTTGCCTATATTCTGTGGGAGCTGTGACTGTAACAAAAACCCAACAGTCAGGCAAGATACAGGCAAAATTCAGCCCTGAGAAATACATACTGGGATTCAGAACTGCATATATAATTATGGCACACTAGAATACGGAGACCAAAACATACTTTAAAACATCTGAGCCAGATAAACCTTCTGACAAGACAGGTAGGCTTCTGGTTTGGGAATCAGGCTGAGACTGGGGAGCTAGGACCTCTTCTGGCTGCTGTGCCTCAGATGCAGTACGATTGTGAGCTAGTGCTGCAATCTCCGTTTCACACTACCCACCTGTACAGTGGGCATAGTCACAGTTTACTTCACTGCAAGGCACACTGGTACATTCATACAGTCCTTGCCAGGCCTCAAAGGACTGGGAGTAGCCATTAGGTAGACACTCCATTATAAAACATTATTCTGCTTGTAACCTAAACCCAAGGACTCAAGCAAAGCACTTCCCAACAGTAGTTATGACAAGAGTAAATCAACTAAGTTACAGCAGTAGAAACAATGGGAGACCAAGGCCTCCTGCTCTGCCATTTCACAGTCCTTCATTGCAATTTATAGCTGGAGTTAACTGGGGAGGATCAGAGTCTGTGCTGGACCCTGAAAATCCACACCACAGGGAAGGCAGTAAGAGGATAGGCAAGTGTAACTCAGTCAGCTATGGAGATTGCAAAGGAACTTAACGGACTTAAAAGACTTCAGCTCAATTTAAGGAACAGACAGGCTGAAGATCACAGTGCTGCTTTGGGAAAGGCAGAAATACAGTACAGTTAATTTGAAACTAACTGAAGAGTGAAGTTTGAGAACTCTGATACTTTATGCTTGCAATTTATATTTAAATAAACTGAAAATTGAACTTCTCCTTAAAAAGAAGAAAGCAGGTTTTCTGCTCCACCTCCTATATGTCATTACCCCTTTAGCCCAATGCTACAGTTTCCCACTAATCTTGTGTAATTGAAGCATCTAAGAGATACCACTTGCGATTAACAGGACCACTCAGTCAGTCAGAAATTCTTGTCTGAATTCCAGTGACCAGGTCTTGGCAGTGCCCAGCCTTAGAGGTACCTCTGGCTGTTTCTATGGGGAAACACAAAAGCAATCTGTTGAGACGTGGGCTTTTGATTAAAAAAAACAACCTGGGCCTAATTTTGACCTGATTTTGCAGCTATGCAAATCTAGCTGAACTCAGCAAGAATTACTCTACCTGAGGAGAAGAGAGAGAGAATAAAAGGTCACTGGCTCTGCAGCATTATCCTGCCTTTTCTAGAATGTATCTTCATTTCTTAATTCGGCTCATGCATTTTTAGCATTTTTAATGTGTTTTCTCTTACGAGTTTACAGGATTTCACTGGACAACTATTTAATCCAACAGCATCCCCATTTACTTGTCTGGATTTCAGTTCCTGCCTTCAAAAACATGGTTTGTTCTTGCATGAGTTCTATAGTCATTGAATTCCACAATATTATTCCTGGTGTGCAATGCCACAAATAAAAGCAGAATCAGAGCTGTACTGTTGAGGTGTCCTCAACAGGAAATTTTTGTATTTTTGTCTATGCATTTATTTTACACATATGTGTCTGTATTTAAATTATACACACCATTTTTTTAAAGCATATTCATTTTCTGAACATATATAAAAATCAGTATTTTTTCCCTAAGTGTAA